TGTACTTGAGTCTGTTGATCATGCCAGATAACATCATCGTCATCACACTGTGGGTTTGAGAAGAAACAGGAAAAATTTGGAAGGGTAAAGAAGTTCTTGCTGGAGGAAAGTATTGAGATATACACTCTTTCTCTGACTTCACCTCTTGAACTTATGTCTGGCTCAATAAAAGTATTGTAGTATTAAAGTGTTCCACTTCAGGTACTCAGTGACCTGCTGCGTGCTTACCCAGAGAAGTAAACCCATTCAAAACAGGGAATAAATCTCAACAATACAAGCTAACGCTTCTATCACTGAACTCTTACTCAAACATGTCTACTTATTCAGGATTATATGTTCTTGACTTTTTCAACAGGTGTTCACTTAAACAAACATCAATGCTCTGAAAAATCCCTTAACACCAAGAAGGTTAAACAAATGATACAGAGTTTTCTTTTTTTGTATATATACAATCTTCAGCTATTCATACACTTTCACTTACAGCAATGAATTAGAGGTTCTAAGACTGATTAAAGCAGTAATATGTTCTGTGTTTGAACAAGTAAGATTTAGTCATAAAAACTGGCAACTGCCCTGTAACACATCTGGGGTGTTTCTTACTAAAACGCCTATGTTTGAAAATACTGTAAGACAACTTGTTCTTGTATTTTCCAAACATAAAGTAACCTATGAACACAACACTCCTGTAAGGAAAGTTAGAGTGTAAAGAAGAGAAAGTGAGACATACAGACAGTAAGTAAGCACCTGGGAACCTTAAAGACAGAAGTCATATGCGGTGACTACATTGATACCTAATGAAGGGTTAGAAACTCATTCATTTGCTCGCTGGAGGACTGGTCCCCTGATGATGGGCAGACGCTCTGGTTCTCTTGGTGGGTGTCTATTCCCTGAATACCAGTGAAGCCTTTGGGATTTTACTTCATAGTGGCACTGAGGAGCAGTTCCACGGGAGAGAAATTCAGAGACTTTCAATGAGCTGTAGCTTGCTCAAGGCTAACCTCAGGGGGAACCAACAATCATAAACAGCAGCTGGAAGGCTCAAAGGTCACTTTGCTAAAAAGGACTCCTGGGCACATCCCCATCTTTAATAAAGTAGGACCATGGGAAAGCTTTCCCTTCCTGCTAGATCTAGGGCAAAGATTCATAAAGGAATAATCACCCCTAAATGAGAGGAGGGAACTGAGGTTCTGGGGAAGTTGCATCTTTTCCTCTATGTTGTGTTGGGAGAAACAAAATGCTGAATTGACTCCAAAGCTCAGGGAGCCCCAGAGTGTATCCAGATCAGAGGAGATGCAGGCAGAAAATGTATATGGTAAAATTTGCTAATTTTTCTCATACTTCTTCCCATTAAGTCAATAAGATGGTACGTTTCATCAAAGTTGAGGAACCCTATTTAAAAATGAGATGATAAGGAAAAAATGTCAGTCATTTTGGAATAGTAACCCCACAGGCTAAGCGCGAAAGGCGGCACATAGATTTTGGATGGCATGCAACAGGGCTGCCCAGGGACTGGAATGGGGAACCACAGCATTCCTGAAAAGCAAATGCTCCTAGTCCTGGGTCCTACTAAGTTCGGAGCTGTGTGGAAGCTAGAAACCCCTGCATCACATGGAGGCAAGGTAGTATATTGGCACTCAGCAGCAGCAGCTCAAAACTTCCAAGCAGGTCCAATTCCTGTAGACTTTTTGCTGGCAGATAAACTTTTTTTTGGAAAAGTTAAAGTAAAGGCTAGCACACCGTCCTGGATGGGTTGCTGATCCCCGACGTCCAGTGTTATTCTTACCAGTTCAGTTCTTTCTGGGGATGAAACCCATAACTCATTCAAACCCCTGTGCTCTTTGCACAGCCAAAGGAGATTTAAATAGCATTTCAGCAAATTCAGAACTGCATGGATTGATTTTGTACCACAGCTGTAATTTTCTTCTCCCTTTTCAAATGACATGATATTTAACAGGACAGTGTGAAGGTTCAAAAATATTATCTGTAAGTCAGAATAAATTACACAGTGCTAGCAGAGCAGCAGAAAGGCACATTTTTGTGGGCTAAATCATTGCAGCTGGGATGTTTCAGAATGCTGAATCTACTTTTTTACCCAGAGAGAGAGGGAGAAAAATCAGCCACGGAGCTCCTGTTTGCTTTCATTATAACTAGCCATGCTCTTGTCAACTTACTGCAAAGTGTTCCAATCTCTTGTTAATACCCACATCCATCATGGGCACCAACAGACTCAGTCACCAGGAATGTTCATTTAGAAGCAGTGATCAAACAAATTAAGACCAAAAATGAAGCTGGCATCCAAATCTTCAATTTCTATCCCAACTTTGAAACACAAAACATCCCACAGGTCCCCCTTCAGGCTTGAACCAAAGCCTGGTGATGTCAGTTGGAAGAAGTTCAGAAATCAGGGCACATCTCAAAATATTCTAAATAGGCAGCTCCTCCTCAGCACCCTCCTATGGGATAGATACACTTCAGTCCACTAACAGAGTTCTGCCAGATTTAATACTTTCCTGATATTTTAACAATGGTGGCTGGTAACTCCAAAAGAACCAATATGGTGTTAACAGTCACCACAGTATGAGGGGAAAGAAGAAAGAGAATCACCCTCTCAATAAAAGATTGATTGCCTTCTGTTTTTAAGAACCTGTGTTCTCTGAGGATAATCCCTGACCACATCCTACTGATCAGAAGATTCTAGCTAACCCAAACCTGGAACAGCCTATATACTGTAGTGGGGTTTTTTGTTGTTGGTGTTTTTTTATATTGGTTTTGTTTGTGGGTTGTTTTTTTTTTTTCCATAAATTAGAGCATTTAAGAACTTATTTAGAGGAACATTTTGAACTTTATCTTTCATCAGGACTTGCTTACTGGAAACCTCTTTAGAGCAAGGAAAAACCTCATAAGAATATGCTTTAACTGCCTCATGGCTTGGCACAGTGATTTTCAATAAAAAAGCATTGCTTCACACACCTTTGACTTCAAAACCTGTGGAAATTGTTTAGTTTCAAAATTTGGGGATTAACATTTGCAGGGTACACAAGGAATGCATGCAAAACAAGATGAAATGGAGTTTTATTCCAGTGCTCAATTACATAAAACTCAATTTTCACATGTCACTGGAATACAAAAAACAAAACTGAAGTCTGTACTGGAAACAACCAATTCATGATGCCTTAGACGTGATACAGCTATCACATGCATCCTAAACAGTCACTCACTAGATAAAGGAACCACTACGTTAACGTGGTGCAGGCAACAGAACCTGAACTAACATCACCGACATGCTGCTGCAGATACAACCCCTCTTTTTACCCATCTACCAAGATTTTCCGATTATCTTCTCACTTTTTTTTTTTTTTTTTTTGCAGCTGATCTCGTTTCCACCCCGCTTTATCTGTTCAAGCCCGGTGGCGCCTGCCCGATACCGCACCTCTCTGCCCACCAACACCATCCCTAGATGTGCCCTATATTTCATTTACCACGCACCCCCCCATCCCTTAACCGCTTCCTGGCGAGCCTGATCTGCGCCCTTACCGCAGATGGAGAGAACCGGAGCAGGGCTCTACCACCCCAGGGACTTCCCAAAGTTTTAACTGTGCCTGATCCCTTGAGGAGCCTCTGGGGCGGCGGCCCTCACCCTCCCCTGAACCCAACCTAACAGGCGCAGGTGTAACTTCGAACCTTGCATTGAGCCCAAATAACTACAAGACACTCCCTTCCAGGTGCGCAAAGAGGGCTGTACAAGCAGCCTGCGTTAAAAAAAAAAAAAACCACACAAAAAAACCCCACACCACCAAACAAACTCAACCTCAGCGCCCCACGATCATGCGAGTACGACCTCGGGGAAAGAGAGGCAGAGGCTCCTCTCCTTTCCTCACCTCTCCTCTCCTCACCTCTGCTCTCAGCTCCTCACCTCTCCTCTCCTCACCTCTGCTCTCAGCTCCTCACCTCTCCTCTCCTCCCCTCTCCTCACCTCTGCTCTCCTCACCTCACCTCTGCTCTCCTCACCTCACCTCTCCTCACCTCTGCTCTCAGCTCCTCACCTCTCCTCTCCTCCCCTCACC